CCATGACAGATTTCAACCTGTACCAGAGTATGAACAAAAAGTACAGCAAGCAGATTTCCAGAATATGAGCCAAGAAAGAGATCAACATTGAAAAGAAGTTTGCATGGCCAATAGGCCGCAAACAATATGTTCAAACATGGTAATGTGCAATCTCAGCCAACAAAGAGATACATAAGAGAAAAATCAACTAAGGTTGTTTTGCCATGAGCTCCATTCTTCTTTCATGGTCTTTATCTCTTCGACGGCTTCGTCTGCAGAGGCTGTGAAGGAAGGTAGCTGCTCCTTGATCTTGGCAGCATATTTCAAACCAACTTCCATGTCTACGCGGAGCTTGTTTCTCTGTTCTGCCAAACTCTGCTCACTTTGCTCCGCAAGAGGAACTTGGTTTCTCAACTCTGAAAGCTCGGCTTCAAGGTTAGAGATTTTTTCTTTGAGCCCTTGGACATGTGTAATTTGCGTGACATGAGCCTCTTTTGCTGCCAAGAATTCTTCTTTCTTCTTCAAGACAGCGGCAGTGCTGTCTGCTACAGACTTCTTGACAGAATCTGCAGCCGCTACTTTGCTTTCAAGCACCCAGAATTTTCTGCTGAAATGGGTGTAGATGGTGGTGAAGTCTGCCCAGAATTTTTGTTGAGATGATGATAACTGTGGAGCTCGGCTAAGGATTTGAGCCGCTTCAAAGGCGGCTGGCTGGTCCGGCACTTTGCAGAAGTGGGAAGGATCACCACCCAGGAGCTCTTGCATGGTCATGATCGCAAAACTAATCTGCTCCTGAGTAGGAAGGTTGGTGTCAGATTCCACCTCCTCAACAACTGCCTTCCCTTTACTATCTGTGGCAGATCCAGATTTAGCCGGAGCATCCATCAACATATCCAGCTGGGCAAGGAGTTCATTCTCCAAATCATCATCAATCATGGGCACGTCGGCAGCATCACTCTATAAAATGCAAAGACAAAAGATCAAAAATGGCAACTGGCAAATGTGGTGACAGATTTCAAGATCTAAGCAGATTTCAGAACAGTAAAACAACCTCAAAGTCATCAACATGAACATGCCTAGCAGGAGAAGCTATAGGTGTAGGGGTATTCTCTTTGTCTG